GAGGGAATAAAGAAGGGAAACAAAGTGACTGCAGATGCCATTTTTAGACGATACCGACACTCTCCGTACGCTGCGTGTCGTCTTGCCTACACACATTATGTATTTTTTTTTTTTTTTTTTTTTCGTCAATCCGACGTAACATTATTCGGATATTGCGTTTGTGCATAACGAGTTTCCCGCGTCCGGTGTTTGCAAACGTTTACTGCAGTACAATATCGTCATCTGTTACACCAACAACAAATACCTTAAAATACGATTATATAACAACATCTCTGTCCATCTCTTATCTTCCTGTCGGCCGTTCGATTCCGAGCGTCGTGACTTTCATCTGAACATATTATTCCCATCGGTCATACTTATAGACGTAAATAGAGTATGTAAATACATAGAGCCAAATAGGTTTTAGACCTAATATTAAAGACTTAATTAATTCGAATATCATAGGACAGGGGCCCTGTCCTGAGTGCTCCTAAATCTCTACATTCCCCCTCCAGTTACGTCTATGGTTATATGTCTCCAGAACTCTCTGACATCTGTGTAAGTGTTTTAATTTGGCCTTTATACCAAATAGGAGGCTTGCCTCCGGTCCTCATTTACCTTTGACTTTTTACTCCCCCTTGTATAACAATCATTTCGATACCGTTTCTGCTTAAGTTGTGGCCAAATAATTTGAGTATTTGGCTCTGAGGTCTGAATTGTGGGCGAGAGACAATTTCGGCGTTGTATTTTGAGGCTCTTGTGTTGTAGACATATTCGGTTTATAACGGGATTCGCAATATTCTTCTATGTGCAGCGTTTGAAATATTTTTGTTCTTCGTCAGTACGGTGTACTGAGTGTTCATGATTCGGAGCCGTACGTCGTCTCAGGAAATAACTATAAACAGTGTTTTGCACATGCACTGATAAGCTCCTAATAAATAATATACCTGTAGAGAAAAAACCCTTTGAAAAACTACGGCATAACCGGCCAATAGCGAACTATTCACTAATCCGGAAACTGGTTATCGATAAAGATTCAAATTATTATTATTCGCGACTGCTTTAATGATAATATTATTCATACAATTTAATTAAATGACAATTAGTAACGCAAATTGCGTGTTCGTATCGTATTATAGTTATTAATGTTTTATTTTATCAATTAATATTCTCACCCTTTACTTAGGTGTACCTATATACTTAGTCAAGAGAACGTCTCATTTACGGGTCATAACGAGGGGTAGCGTTTGCGACCCCAAATATTTTTACTGAGTCGCGAAAATAACATCTAGCTACCTCAAAGTTTCGTTCTAAGAAAATACGTGTTTAACTTTTGTGTACCATTATTATATTCGTATTGTATACATTGTTATTTGTTATCACGATTATCATTATTCAGTGGTATTAGTTGGAAATACAAATCGGCGTCAACATTTTAATAGGTAATGCGGCCAATATGGGATAAATATCGAGAATGCGCTTGGTACTACGTGCGCAATCTGTAGTCGTTTACTTGAAACTCCTTGGCTAAACAGAGAGAGCTGAAATCAAATGTTCGTTTGTTTTACTGAAACCGTCGATTATATATACCAGATCCGAACGGAATACAGAATAGTTACAAGAATAGAACAATACAGTATGTGCTCGCGTTCATTTTTTGTACATTTGAATAAAATATTAGTTTTATATTGAATCAGTCGGATGGTTTTTTTTTTTCGTCGAATTATCCTTGATAATAAACTAGTAACATTTATACTGTATCGGGTCTGATATAATCTATATACAGTAATCTCATCGTGTTCTCCCAATACTAATATCTTATTTTTATTAAATTTATTGATTTTTACAATCAGATTTGTGTCAGGGAGATACATATTTAGGAAAAAATTAAATGTTTATTTTCAATGGAAAAAAAAAAAAAGCATTAAATAAAATTATAACAAAATGAATTAAAGATATTTTCTCCGTTGTTCGGAAAAACATTAAACCATACATATATATAAATCGGTCACTCCTTTCAACGTCATATCTCAAAAAGATCGTTTTTTCAGGAGAATAATTTTAAAGTTAAAAAGTATTCATCCACTGATTGAACTTTGAATTATGTGAGACGTCCTTTATAGATGAGACCTGGGTTTTTTCCCTTTTTAAAGAATAATAATGTGTACAAGTTAAAAAATTAAACAGTAATTCTTAATTGTTAAATAGTATGTAAATAATTAAGAAATATTGAATAATACAAAAACGACGTTATTGTCCTTTGACGGCTTTATATTAAGATATAGACATGATGGTTTTGCTGGGAAATGATACTCTTTTAGGGCGTTCTAAACACAGGCATAACTCAAAATTTCAAAGATTTTTGTGATATGACGTTGTCGAAAGGATTGAGCGATATATAATATTGATGTTTGTTGCTTTACCGTGACAACCAGATAATGATTGTTCTGTTACAGCGTTACGCGAAATCGGTTACGAAAGTAATTTGCTGTAGGTACCGGTAGCATAACTTTTTGTTTGTTCACTTTTTAAAATAGCCACTTGATAATAGATATTAATCTAGCCAATATATAATCTAACATAACACACATAGGTATCTAAACTGCATACATAATAATACACACATGTGCATAATGTAACATAAACATATCCGATAAATACACTCTTAGTAATGGCCAATTTGGTTTTTAGAGAAAGGGTATGAAAAAAAAATTGTATTTTATTGGTTACTATTAGTACGTTACGCGATAAGAAATGACAAATAATTTATTTATACTTCTCCTCTAGCAATGTTACCGGGCTAATACTAATAAACTATTTATCGGATGTGTATGCGTACAGTAACATTTTTTAAAAATAATATCTATTACACAGTTGATGTTTTGAACATTTTGTAAAGTAAACAAAGTTATTTTTTTTATCAATCAAAATTAATTTTTCCTCTGTAATATTTTCTCTTGTCCCCTTAAGACCGAATCTGATTGAAAAAAAAATTGAATACTAAACAAATTATTAACATGGGGAAAATACGGTGGAACATTCCGTGTATTTGTGTATTACTTTTACTTTACCTTTTCTTACGTACTTTTGGATTAATTTAATTTTAATTTAACTCATTTGTCTCTACGTTAACTTGAAATCGTCTTAATTTTTGTATCATTACTAATTAAGTTAATTTTGAATGTTCATATTATCTAGAAAAATATTTTGTTTATCACCGTTGTCAGTTTAAAATATATTTAGTCCGTAGATTTAAGAGTAACTAGAACGTGAAAAATCATCAAATATTATTTAGAAAAAAAACCCAGATAAAATATTTACGAAGAATGTCATTTTTATATTTACAGATAACAACGAATTTATCATAGTAATAAAGACATAAATAGTCACAAGCCCACGAATTATATTCATAATATATATACTCGGGTATAAATTAGGTACTACTTATCTGTTGTTAAAATTTGATAGATATTTTGAATAAAAGTTTATAACCAATAGATAGTTTTTTGTACTTCCTCGATTAAGTTTTTCGTGTTGTAAATTAATAAATTATTAATGTTAAATAATACAATTACCACTTTTATGTACTCACATTTAAATTTAAGTGTTCCCTGAGTCTGCATTATGATTAGACTACTATAACTTCTACAACTCCCCGTCTCCACAGGTTTTAAAATACATATATAATAAGTAATATTTCATAATTGCATTCACTTTCAATAAGTATTTTAATTTTAAATACCTAATCAATTCAATTTTTTTTTTTAAAATTAATTTAACTTATTAATTGAAGTTAAATTAAGTTAATGGCATATTTTAGTTTAATTGAAAAAAACAATATTTAACTGAGCTTAACTGATGAAATATCATTAACTAAATGCTATTATTTACTTATAAAAGATATGATTTTATAACAGACAAGTAATATTCAATTTAAGTACCAGATGGTAATGCGGGTGTTCGATTTTTGCAATTCAAACAACTCGTACTTGCGAAAACAGCCATGAAATGCTGTTTTTAAAGGTGCTCCGTTGACGGTGTCAAAAAAGAGAATTTCGTAAAGAAAAAAAACCATTCAAGTTGAAAATCAGCTTAAAAGGGTCAAGATTGCCGGTTATAGGTATCTCCGTATATTTTTCGAGCTCATGCGTCATTCATTGGAAACGTGGTTAGGTATTGGAAAATGCGAGGTAGTCGATTTGTGTAACCACTCACGAGGAGTGTGTGTTCGGCAATTGGAAAACAGTTGTAGACGAGTAGGTGGACTGAATTTAATTGTAGACATTGACGAGTGTCTCTATGCGCGCCGAAAAAAAACAATATAGGTACTGAGCGTACACTACCACAACAGCGGATGTTCAGCGGTGTATACCGAAGAATTAAAACGCGTGTTGTTGTCAGCGATCGATCGAAATGAACACTAATTGCAAACTAATATAAGACCGTGTTTCATAATGTATTTCGACAACTTCGGAAAGCGTGTGCCTGTCGAGCGTGTATGTCGTTACTATAGGGCCCGGATTTGAATGCAAAGTGTACATTTCTGTTGGGTCGTCTTAGTTATATTTGTTATCTCCGAAGATCATAATAAATTTCACGCAACAGTCACTTCAATGAAGAAACGTTTGTTTAAATTTTTTTTTTTTTTTTTTTTTATAGCATTTCCAGCCAACGCTATTGATATATGCTGATATTAATGTCAACAATTCGAATACGCTCCTATTACATCCGTGGACGTTTAACGGAGTTTCGCTATGAATACAAATATTCCTTCAGACAATAAAAGTTCAAGTGAACGTTTTACATTTCGACCGTGATATATCTAATGATGAATTTTTAATCGAAACCGGTCGTATAATACACTTATCATAATAATCTTGGCGACGCATTGATTCGTTTATTTAATTGATTTGTATGCATACGTTTTTTATTTATATATTTATTTACTTTAATAATTAAAGTTCGTTGATGTTTTAGAATATTGAAAAATATTTTATTGTCCAATGCATTGCTCAAATTGGCCAAGGTAAAATAGTTTAACAAAGATTTTAGTATAAGTTTACATTTATATTACACAGTATAGCTCCTAAAGATATCCAGTCAATACCACCGTCGTCTGTCACGAATTAAATTTTTAAATAATCAGTTTTTTTTTTTTTTTCTGTAGTAAAACGATAATTATGAATTAATAAAAGTAATAAAACTATACGTTTAAACGAAAATTGTAATTTTTAAGAACGCGTGTGGCTATTTTTCAAAGCATTTTTCCACGGTTTTCAGTGCATTTAATTCCGGGCCATATATGTATTACATTCTGAATACCGTTTAACTATTTTTCACATTTCGGACTAGGAATCGGCAAACGTCCAGCAAACTAATCAAAATATCAATAGTAATAACGATAAAGCGAATGATTAATAACCGTAATGATATTATTAATAATAATATAATATATATACATAATGTTATGGGTGTTATCATCGTCCCCCCGGTCGCGTTCAGATCACGAGACCCAATTTGCGTTTGTCGTCGATCGCCTTGTGTGCGGCCTGTCGTTTCAGGTTGGTCGGTATAAACATGGTCAACAGGAGCCCGAAGCTCAGCAGGCCGACGATCATCATGTTGGCGGCCATGTCGCCCATGGTGCTGAACACCCAACTGTACACCGACGTCAATATGAAGCCAATAAGCTGCGTGCCGCCGTTTAGCAGTCCACTCGACGTGCCCTCCGGTATCGGATATGTCAGCTCGATGGCCAGCTCGTAGCCGACCGGCAGGTAACCGGTCATGAACAACCTATCAATAACCGTGATACATATTATTTTAGTTTCGCATAACCGATCTGCGATCGTCTCAGGCGACGTATTCAATTTGTTTGATTCCGAACACGGCGAAAAGACTGCCCCTCAGACAATGTCAAGTGAATTTGATACAATTACATTTTTATTTTTTTTTTAATCATTATGGAATCGATTAAGATTTATCATTTTCAATTTTGTACCTCTGGAGGTTGGCTATCGATTTTCCATCTAGAAATTGATATACAGTTTACTATATCCTTCCCTACTCCTCCGGTCAAAACTTTTACTGTTATAATTCATAAACGGTAAATCCGATATTATGCATATCAATAAACTCGATTCTAATTTGTGTAACAGGCACGAGGAATAGAGGTAAAATTTGAAAAATATTATTAAATATAACTAATATGATATAAATCAAATTTACTTAAAGTCCTTCGATAAAATCACTTATTCGTGATCGAATCGCCCTTTTTATTGTTTTCTCTGGAAATTATTGTGAAAAATCTATGTCATTTTGGACACTATTGCAAAAACAATACACACCGGTTTAACAGAGTTAAATATACAAATTCCCTAAGTATTGGACTACTGTTTCAACGTCCGTCTCCTTCAACAGGCATTTTTTTTTTTTTTTTGTAATATCTCTGTAAGTTTTTTGTACACAAATGATGGATTTTGATGGAAATTTCTGTGAATTATCTTTTGTTTAAGCAATTTCGAAATGGATCTGATTTTTCGACAAATTTACTACCCCGATGCTCACCCTAAAAGCGAAGCTGTGATGTAGATGACCCAAATAGATTGTCCGTTTGGCAGACTGAACGTGTAGATCAACATCGAGATCAGCGTGCTGCCATATACCACCAGGGTCGTTCCTCTATAAAAATGCGATTGCTGATTAAAAAATACTAATTTTAAAATAAGTTAAAAGTGCATATGTATGTAATTTAATATAATAATTATAACAATTTTAATTGTACGTATTACATTCATTGTTTTTTTTAAATTATAAATAAGCATTGAGTTTTTAAGTTTGAATTGCAAGAAAATTGTTTTTTTTTTTTTTTTTAAAGTCATATGTAATCCAAACGATCCTTATCCCCACACCCATGACCGGCTTGGATTAATGAGACCTTACTATCTATATCATGTTTTAGTTTACAAAAGGCATCATATATTATTTTTTCAATAAAACTATTTTTTTATACATTTTAATGAATTTGTATTTTTTGCCGACTTATTAGTCAGATATTCATCATCGAAATGATGTTTACTGACTAACTACCCACAAAGTATATTCCATTACGTCATAAATCGTGTATTTGACAAAATTATAAAAGGCAAATAATTATTGATGAACATCGGTCCCTCTAAAGCTTCATATTAAGTCTCTTTTTACTTGTATAAATAATCTAGAAATAAAACTAAATTAGATTTTATATTAGAAAAAAAGTTGTTTTAAATTAAAATTATTTAAACACAATTTATACTGATTGGTTCAAAAAAAAATTATTGTTTTTTATTGCCTGTTTTTTTATTCAACACCTGTGTGTTAACTAAAAATAATGCCTTGGGATCTGATTTGGGACCTTTAAATGTCATGATCCACGGGCCCGTGGATTATTCACCGATCATGCAATCCTATCAGTATGCCACTGAATATATTATACTAAACAGAGTAATGTGGATACAGTAGACTATATATAAGATATTTAAAAATATATTGTGTAAGTATTAAGTACCTATTTTCTCAACTAGGTTTTTTTTAAAAGGCCAACTTCCTCTCCAAATTTAACCCTGAACCCACCACTGTAGCACTTCTTACAACCAACCTAAAAAGCCCTGTAGTTCACGAGATTTGTACGTTGGAAAATATATTACTTGCGTTTGATCACGATTTTGTTCAATATGTATTCAAGTTCTACAGTATTATTGTATAAATGAAAATTGGACAGGTGTTTTGGATTGTCATACCCCTAAAGACCTCCCAAATGAAATCAAGAAGATTAAATTTCATATATGCACGGTATAAGCGTCAATAAAGTGCCTTAAGCTGATTTAAACTTTCAACTCCCTCCCTAACCATTTTTATGCTCATATTTCATGTTTTAACAACAACCATTGGGTTTCAATTACTCTTACAGACTCATAAAAGTAAGAAAAAAATGAGTATATATAAATAAAATTATGTCATGGACGAGTCCTTAGAGGGTCTGAACTTCTGATTCCGGACCCCACCGTATGTTTGTATTACATAAAAAATCTTGAGAACTATTTTAACTATTATTTTAACAAATTCTTTTTGTAAATTTCCTTAATATTTCAAAAAAAAAAAAAAACAGTTTATTGTAGGAATTCTGTTAAAGGATTCTAGTAGAATTTCTAACTTAATCAGAACTCTGTTGCTTATGAGTACCTTTTAGGTACCTAAGGATGGATTACCTAAGGATTTTTAATGATTGTATAATAATATTTTCAAATGCTTATTTCATAATTTTCAATGCTCAACTATGTATACGGGTACCCGTATATAACCATTAAATGTGTTAATGTCGAATCTACACTATAACATAAAATCTATGTAAAACGTGTACAGTTTTTGTTAAAACAAACAACGCTATTATGTTGACAGACGTCTTACTTGTAAAGATGCGTTTTGTCCAAAATATATCCACAAATAATCGAACCTCCCAGGCCGCACAACACTAACGTGAGACCGATTCGGCCGACGTCTTCTTCGTGACCCTGCGGAAATATAATAATATTATGTTATGCAAACTTGTCTTTTCGCACCGCCAGAAAATGTTCAAAATGTGCATAAGTAGATATCTCTCTACCTACGATTTTTATTTTTAAAAGTAAACATTTGTTCAGTAGATAATTATTTACCTATAAGTAGGTAAAAGTTATCATTATGCTATGATTTTTTGATTGAACAGTTATGGGTGACAGTGTGAAACATACGAAGGAGTTGGATGTGATGCTAAATTATGTGAATTAGATCCACTGCTGGCATTATTTGTCACTGGTATTATGCTCACATATATACTATAATACTTAATTATTAATAGAGTGTTTACTGTTCAAACAATTCGATACTAATTTCTGGTTTTTGTAAAAAAAATTAAAAAATCGTTAAAGTGGAAATTAATTGTTTATTGGACAGGAATTTACCAAGAAAGTTTGAGTATTGGTGGGTTGGAAAATTAAATATTTTACTGCATTACCAAAAATTGAGACCAGGTTTACGCCACTGCAAGTCATTCAAATTAATTTTATTGTTTTTTTTCTTACCGGGTAATAGAGCAGAATAAACTGATTGAGCAGAGTGGATATGGCGAAAAATGCGCCTACATTTATCCCATATGAAATCAGCAACAGAATGTAACCATTGTTTTTCAGCAGTTCTTTGACTGAACTCATGAACACGTCTTTTAAAATTGCCGGGTCGTCTCTTTTTTTCCGTTGCACTACTTGCGCGTAACTGGGCGCCAATAACGGTTCGGCTTGTATACCTGCGAAATAATTATAAGTAAAGTTAATAATCGATTGACAAGTCACTCGATGTTTCTTTTGAAAATAAATATAATAGTATAATATATTCTTACTCCAAATTACTAAAAAGAATACTACGGTGTTTACAATAGCGAACGACAAGAACATTTTCCATAAATCGTATCCGATTTCTTCCAAGTTATCGCTGTCTTGTACTATCATCGGTGGTATCAAAAATCCAAGTGCTGCGCCCAGCTGTAAAAGGTCACATGAATTAAACCAACAATTTAAACGCTCACGTTTAAATAATTATTTTCAGTACATTTTTATGTAGATATTGTACCATTACCCATAAAATAAATCGCGAAATACAATAGGAACAATAGCCATAAACTAACTTGAAATTTGTCAAAAATGTGAAAAAAAATTAGACGTATTTTGCACCACACTAGATGATAAGTAATGTGGTAAGGTGGTAGGTTTAAAAGTGTATTGGGTATAGGAAAATATAATAAAAAGCCGATTCTGAGCGGAGTTATATTAACTTGTTTTATCCCATTTTACTTAGAATCAACAAAAATAAATCCCATGCATCGACATTTTGTCGGGTTTTTAAATTTCATAGAAAAACTGTTAGGAATTTAAAAATTGTTTTCAAATAAAGTACGGCCGGGTAAAAAAGTACACATCTTTTAAGGTACAATGTGAATAATTTGAAAGATTTGTATAGACTAAAAAAAATGTTTTACGAGAAATTTGTAAAACCATCGAATCGCTGAGAATCTAAAGAAAGATAAACAAAGTTATTTCGCGCAAAATCTATTCGGAATAAATTAGAAATAGAAAATTTGAATAAATTTGTCCAAAAAAAAATGTGTACATGATTATAATAAATATAAATAAAAAAGGTTATACTTTGTACCTTAGGTAGGTCATTGTTGTCGGAGGGTAATAAGGATAATTTAATTAATAAATTGTGTAATTCAGCGATAAATCATCGAAGATTAAAGACGTTTCTGAATGAAGTAGTATTATTCATGACTTTGCCCTGCTACCAGGATAACCCAAATATCAACAAAAGTTAAAAATCAAAAAAAGAAACCCTAGTTCGTGAATTCTTGAAAATGTCGATAAATTGTTTTAAATAAGTACTCACGGCCGAAAATTTTGCATCTGTTAAAGCGCTGAGTGAAAAAATCTGAACATTTTTTCTAATAGAACAAGTTTTTTTCCGAGAGAAAAAAAAAAGTACCTTTGCAAAACTATAACAGTTTCTTTATTATTCTTAAAATCTTGAATGTGTTTAATCATTAACGAAATAAAAATATGCTCAAACACTGTTTGAGTATAAGAAACGCATCTTGTATCATTCACGCGTATTTTGATTCACGGTTATATATTTTAGGTAAAGGTATATAGCTCATAAAGCGGAACAGTTTAATTAAAATATTAGAACATTTTTTTAACAAAAAAAAAAAAAAAAATATAAATTTTTTCTAAGATCAGTTTACATTTCCTTTTTAAATTTTAACCGAAGCCTTTTTCTCCGTTTCGCTATTGATCTTTAGTTGATCATTATATTTTCGTTAACTTGCCCACAGAACCTTAGCATATTTTAGAAAAATATAATATAATGTAGTTATGTTAATTATTCCGTTTGATTATTTTACTATGCGGTTTTAAAATAGCTTAAAAATAGTTTGATTTTTCCTATTTGAGGTGGGGGTAATGAATATTTACATTATTAATAGTAATTATGTTGATAATATAATAAGCAACGTGTGTAAGTTCATAGGTTATAGATTATTATGACTTATATTTATAAAAAAATAAGCACTTTATAAATTGTTTGCATAAATAAACTGATAAATCGAGAACAGATCTTTGCGATTAAGTATTTTTCTGTGTCCTGACCGCGGTTATCTATATAATGTGATTAATTGACTATTAATAACTAATTGCCGTACGTGTATAGTAAGATATTGCCCATTACGTGCTCAATTTGATTGTACACCGAGTGGATTCTAATATTAAATAAATAACTTAATGTCGTCTAGTATTATAATTAAAACATTTGTTGGAGAAGCCATCCGAGCTGGAGCGCTACAAATTTTCGACTACGAAAAAAATTAAGACATATTGTTTCTCGTATCATTATTAATGACGCTCGAGTATTATGTACAATCTCTCCCTACAATTTTGCAGCGGCGTAATCACGGTGAAAGGGATCCGGGTGTCCAATTATTCACTCTTAGGTATTTTTTTTTTCTACGATATTTCTATAATTTTAAACAAAAAGTGTAAATGTTAATTTTCCGTTATCTTGTTCACAGCGACCTGTTAGATCGTGATAATGCTATAGCCAAAGACAATAACCTATTGAGTATTAGATCGTAATAATATTATGGCCAAAGACAACAGCTGTTAATGATCAGTAGAAAATTGTATTGGTATTATTATGTTTTGCAGTATTTTTGTGCAGAGTTCATCGCCACCACACATCAACCCGTACGTTTCTGATGGTTTTGCGTTGACGTCTGTAGCGTATTTGGTGACGGCATCATAAATTGAAGAAAGACCATCGTTTTCCATGTTTGTGGTGGAATTTTAAATCGCGATTGCAACATTGCCACAGCTGCAAATTATCAACCATAAATTCATCGTACCGCCATCAACCCCCTTTTTAATGTGGCGAGCGATAAGGCCGTCAGAGATGTCGCCGGAATATGATCACAGATGAATTTAAGAAATAGTGCACGGAATATCGGTTATAATGGGCAAAATCGTGTAAGTCTCTTGAGATCCACTATAACCGATTTTTCTACAATTGAATTAGAATCCGTAATACCATCACGGTGGATTCACACAATATAATATAGAAATTCTATAAGCACATTATCCTGAACACGAGTCAAGAACATAGACAGGTGTATAAGACTGTATTATTGCGCAGAAAAACGTCCATCTAATCGGCGATTGGGTCAGAAAGGTCAGAAAAGGCGGTTGTAAATATACAAAATATATCGTCATTTGAAAATGATTTTCTCTCGTCGGCGGTGTATACGAGATTACAGCAAAACAATTTCAACAGTCGAGATGACTGGGTACGAGCCACGTAATAATAAATAAATACGTATAGGCAACTTAACATTAATCTTTTGTATACCGTTTATCGCTTTTCACTTTTTTTTTTTTATTGTTATTATTTTGATAAATCGAGCGTGTACGGTTAGCTGCGTGCGGTTACCTCCGATAATGTCGCCGCGGACTTATTTCCATATAATATTATATTATCGTTCCCCTAGCTACGGTTTAATATATAAATGGACCTAATTTAACCAGATATCATACGATAACCGTCACGAGGACAATGTTGTTAACACAAATAAATTACGAATATTGGTAACATCCTGTCAAAGGTCGGATTGTAAAAATAAAATATACCTACAGCTATAATACGTAGTATTTTCTTAAAAATACGTTTCAACATTTATAACCTGTACCTACCGTCATTGTATATCATTTTTCTTATGGCCGTGTGCCAGTACCGATCTTATTTCATTTTATTACTGATCATCGTACAAGTATTTGATCGAAATAAAATCGTGTCCATAATTGTTATGTGTATCTATAATGTTACAATACCTATGCGTTTGTTTATTTATGACAATATTAATGTTTATAATGTATTGGACAAAGTTATTTTTGTTTTGCATGAAGGTTTTCGAGTAAATCGAAATCGGACGAGGCTACAGAGAATTGGACCTAACGCCCTTAACGCGTCTCATCGCGAATAAATCAAATAAATCGAATAATTCGCCGTAGACTGGAGGATAATAATATTATAATGTAGCGACGTTGAAACACGATCAAAAGTTGTACACGTTTTAAAAGGAAATTATTTTGGATTTGGTGAAGCAACAAAATATCGAGTAGAATGACGCTTAAAGCCGTTGAAGTTCAATATTCGTGATTGTAAACAAATAATACTTAAAACAGCCGTCTAGACGGAAGTTTGATAAAACCTTGAAACGGAAACGTTCCTGTATAAAATCGAAATATTTTGATGGGCGCAAGTCGTTTGGGAGATATCAAACTAATGAATTTCAAAGTTCATAATCCGTTCGGGTACCGGTTTTGTTATTTTTAACTCGCCGATTGGACGTCAAATACTATAAGTACTATTTCTAATGACTTGTTTTGGCATCGATTATACGTGCGTAGTTTGTAGGTAAACTTCTAATCCGTTGCAAAGGTGTACGGGTCCACTATATCAGTGGTCTTCAACCGGTGGGTCGCGTAAGCTTTAAAATTAGGCCGCGAAAAGTAAATTTTACTTATACTAAAAAATAACATTATACGTACTATATACTACTAGCTACCTATGTCAAAAAAAAAAAAAAAAATAGACTTCAAACTGAAAATGATTTGCGGAATGTATTGTGTAAAATCGAGCTGAGATGGAGATTTTTGCGTAAAAATAGTCATACTAATTTTCGTACCATTATTACTTATAATAAAAATATAATTTGTTATTTATTCAGTTATGTAATAGCACTTCTAGTGGCATATTAAGACATTAAGCAAGTTTAGCTTGTTTTTGTTTGCTTTTCATGGTCAACAAAGGTGACTTGGGTGATGGGTTGCAAAAAATGTATGGTAAAAAAAGTGGGCCGCGAGGATAAAAGGTTGAAGACCATTGCACTATAGTACCTATGTCAACAATTATTAGAAGTCATAACCTACAATATTGAATGCTCACGACTACCTCTTCTCTAAAATGTCCGTATTTTCCTTTTTTGACTATAGGTAAAACTAAATTTAATAAATATTCGGTTTATTTAAAAACGTTTTTATAACAGTAATTTTTTAGAAAAACAAGTATTTTTTTTTTAGATTCCGAATGTAATAAGGGAGCTATTAATTTTACAGTGCTGTTTTTTTTTTTTTTTTTTGTGAACACTTGCTATATTGAAATTTTTGTATTATTAATGAAAAATTAACTATACAGAATATATTTCTCGCCTTATTCATTGATTGTTTCCCAGTGACGTTATTTCGGAGCTCATTTTGAAACATTGTCCCAGTTTAGCATTTAACCTTATCTCAAGTCGATCGGTCATATCGACTCGATCTCTGATTTTTGGGTAGAAGAAAAAAAAATTCGAAAAATATTGATGTATCACAGACCATTTTTTGTTCATATATTCTCACAGCTAATATAAATCCGTGGCGAACTTTTTGATTTTCGTATTTTCCGACCGACTTTCATGACATTTAATAACGATTTTGAACAATTAAAATAAAATATAAAACTCAAATATAACGAAAATTTGTAATTATTTCTATGTTAATTTAAACGTTTGAAGTATATTTTACGACAGGAAATATGCGAACGAAACGAGAACAATTTATTTTTTCAATAAGTACCTTACACCTTTCTTGGTCAACCGTTAAATTTAGCAAGTTAGTCTCGGAGTATATCGAATATTACACCGAATATACCGACACTAATCAGTCCCGACCATTTTATTTTCTGGACATTATAATACATTTTGTTTAAAATGTTTCAAGGACAGGTTTTAATTTGATTAAAACATTTGGTTTTTAATTTTAAATTAATGATTTTTTTACTACCTACATGACAAGTTTGTGAATTTGGCATACACGATATGAAATCAATTTCGTTCACAGGCCGACTACCTACCAACCTAACGTTTTGCTACGATAATAATTTACGGCACTTGATTATATATGATTGTTATATATTATTATTATATTAGACCTATTAATTCGCCGTGTCGTGAGCGGTTTATATTTCGCGTTATTAACAGCGACTCTGATTAACAGTTTTTATATGGTTAATATTAAAATGTTTCGTGTTAAAAATTGAACGGATATTATTAGGGCACGGACATTTTAGGAGTTGCGTAATATTTATTTATAATATGTTCCGGATTTAAAGCGGACGTAGCTAGTAAGCAAAGGACATAATATATAAAATTGGCATTTTATTTAAAAACAAAAATTATAATTTCTGGATGATGATGTGTTGATGAAGGGAATTCAATAAGGAATTACAATTGGAAGAATTGTTCGCGGCAAAAATTTAATAAAATAATTAAAGCCCAACGGTCACAATGGTTTGGAACGTAATACGCAAAAATTATGAAAACCCTATTGACGCGTTAATAAGCCGTTATAAATTATAAATCAGGATGAAAGAGGCCTCAAGTGCAGCCCGGGAAAAGGTAGTCGCGGTTTTGGTTTAAAAAGATTTGACAAATTTAGCGGCACGTGATTGAAGAAATATTGCGCAACATCGAGAGAAAAGGAGGTAAGTAAGAATTGTGGCGAAAACTCGTATAGAATTATAAAAGCCAGAGTCAGTGGAAAAGAAGAGAAAAAAAGGGCATATTGCAATATTTGCATGTATTTTGTTGGGTTATTTCGCATATTTTATATTTTTGCAATCATGTTTTGAAATCGAAAACTCTAAGAAACTAATGACGATTCGACTTAGACTTCTATTAACTAATAGAATAATAATTAATAATAATTAATTATTATCTATTCATCTATCGCCAACACGTTCTTCTTCAATCTCCTATTTATTTAAGAATATAGGTCAACATGGTTTTGGAGACGTTACCATGGAAACACAAATATACCCATAAGTATACCTATTGAACTTTAAGAGAAACCATCAAGAGAAATCATTCTATTCGATTTTTCTGTGCATCAGGTTTCGGGTTAAAACCGCGTTTTATATTTCAACAGGTTTTTGGTACAGATTAAAAAATTAATATCCGACAAACTTGAACAATATTATTAAGGCTTCATCTAAAATTGGGTCCCGGTGCACGAGATGAGACGACATCTGTTTCTGAATTAGGATGTGTTCTGTCTTAGCATACACATTTCACTTAACAGATGTTGATGATAGCTGGCTAATAATTAAAGAAAATAACTTATAAGAGCTATAAATAAAACCAATGTATTTATTTTTATGATTTATCATTTTAATTCGAAATATTATATTTATTACGAGTTGGAGGACTTACTGAAGTTTGTTTTGAAATATAAAAATAAACGTCGTTAAATTATCATATCTGATTACATGACTTGTTCGAAATTCAAATTTTAAAACGATTTTTTTCTCGGACAATTGAAATTATTTCTTTTTTATATTTTGGTCGACTCAAAACCATAAATCCAGACACGTAGCTAAGAAGGGACAAAGATGACAAGCACCTTAAAAAAAAAAAGATTAATTCTTAACTGACTCCTCTGTATAAAAGTTCAACAAATAATATTGCCTCAAAAGATCGGAATTACAGCTTAAAATTAGCAAAGCAACAATTTTGCTTACACCTTGAGTTGAATGTCTCATAAAGCGAAAAAAAATTTTCATTTTGGTACTATAGTTTTGATACAAGTTTTAGGTACGATTTTAAAGATAAAAATTAAATTGTATGATTCATGTAGTATAAATCGGGATGGTGTAAGATCACCCCCATAATAAATAAAAGTCTGATAACGAAACAAAACCCATATACCATGAAATTTGGGGGGGGGGGTTGGTTGTAAATTTTAAATTTGAACCATTAAGAGCACTGGAACAGGCAAGCAACGAAATAAATTAAAACATGCTTGTTAAATATTTGGGATATTTATTCTAAGAGGGATCCGGACTCAACCATTTAACCAGGTACATCTCTGTAAAGTTTTTATTAACCAGGGAACCAACAGTGAATGGCTTTCACTGTAGAAAAAAATCTGGTTTCGTGACTCATCGCACTGAATAAAATTACCTGGTTGCCAAAAACTCCCAGGGAACAAGCTGTGGATACCTCGGTCGCGCCAAACCATACCGCGGCCAACCGGGACGGCAGACTCAATATGAACGCCTGCGAGCACGCCACCAAACCTTGTCCCAGCAACGTCAACAGGAATCGGTCGGGTACGGCCGAGAAAACCTTTATCCATGCACCCAGACACGTTCCGGCGGCACCTATTACCATCGTTATCTTGAGTCCCTGAAACACGAAGACGTGTATTACCGCGGTGTCCGTATTCTCGGACGGCGCGACCAGTGGCGTAGCCAGCGGGTGAGTCTGGTAGGTTCGGGCCTACCCACTTTTTTCCGAAAATTAATACAATTTTAAAATCGACAATATCTGTTCGTAGTGTTTCCTATTCAATCATTTATATTTTTTTATCCGGCCTACCCAGAAAAATATTTCTAGCTACGCCTCTGAACGCACCGCACGAGCGAAAAATCGTTGCAAGTTAATTACTTCAACGAAATCATGTATAAATTTATGATATCCGCCGACTCATTTATTTGTAATTTTTTTTTTTTTAACCGTCCGCAAATCTATATAATGTGTCTACTTCAATAAATTTCGTTCATCGGCAGATATAGCACATTTGATTTTCTATAATGTCTATTGTATGTAAACGGTTCAAGGCGGTTGAAAGCGATTCGTTTTTTCATTCATTTTAGACCAATAAGCTGAAGTGAAATATACAATATACTTCCAATATGTCTGTACTTCGAATTTCTATTTTAACAAATGGTTTGTTTTCGTATCCACTTCTTTTCCACGTTTCGTAGGAAAAATATTTTCATTTTTTTTTTTTTTGAGATAAAAATATTGGACAATATTTAGAAAATCATTTCCAACCCTCTTAACATGTATTATGCGTTACAATATGGGAGCCCTACTAAACTTTGAAATCGAATTTTTAAATTTCAACCCAAAGAACGACGGGCTCACGCTTGAATAACTGTTCTTATATAATATGAAACGGGAATTAGTATTTTTTGATTCGTGGACTCTCCTCTTGATAACATGAATGGAAAAAAATGTGCTTATTGTTATTTAATTCGGTTTTCACCGGCAACACTGTGAATATGAGTTCTAAGTCTCATTTATTGCTAATAATTTGCATATTTTAACGACGTGTTTATCCTGTCTGATGGAAGATTTGTAAAAACACAAGAAATAAATGAACGGACAACGCGTTTATAGCGGTAAGGATGAAACGAAGAGACGATTTTAATTGTTTAATAGATTTCTGTTTTGTATAGAAAATATTTGTAAAATTTCGAACGCAATTTATGAGAAAACATTGAGATGACATTTTTCCAAAAATTAGTTATTTAAAAAACTTCGTTTTGGTACCAGCGAAACGAATATATTTACAGGGTTATCTATACAATTTTATCATTTACAAATATTTTATAACAAATTACTCTGCAGACCCGCAGTGGCGTACCCAGGAATTTTCAATGGGAGGGGATGTAACGAATAAAAATCGTGAAAAAATAGTAAAATTGTATTCCCTACCCAACTCGACCATGATAATTGGTAATTTAAAAGCCGAATAAAAAGCCTCGGAAATCGGCCAAAATGTATGAGTTTCGATATTAGATTACTCATTTTTTGATTTTTTTTTTTTTGCATAAACACGCTTTTGAATAATTATTTTAATTGCACGCGAAAAATTACTCGTGATAACGATATCGGGGATCCCCGTGATACGTGAATTTATTTGACGGTTAATTCGAAGTGTAAAATTGAGTTGATAAACGTTAATTTTTTCACGAATTTCGTTCAAACCACCAACAATAATGGGCGTATACTTGTTCGTAGACTTGTTTGTACCCGACGTCGGGTACAAAAGAGTGTTACGAATTTACCGCGAGAGCCGTACTTATCGGACCCGCAAAAGTTCCGTTAGACAGACCGCGGGCACCGGTGTAGGGACTTTGTTTTTGATGGAATACGCGCGGGCACTTGCACATCCACCACCGCAACGCCGCTACACTAACCAGTCGGTCGAGGACCCACGAGGCCGGCACGACCAGCGGCACGTACACGATCATGTATATGGTGGACGTGGTGTCCACGGCGAAGTTGGACACGCCGTAGAACTTCACGGTGATGTTGGATATGATGCTGTACTGTATCCAGTGGACGGCGTTGGCCATCGAGTACACCATGTACACGACGAGTATTATCCACCGGGCCTTGTACAGTTTGAGGTTTTGTTGGCGGACGGCGGCGGCGGCGGCGACGGCCGTGACGACCGCGGCCGCCGGCGGTCGCTGTTCGCGGCTGTCGCCGTCGACGGCCACGGCGGCGGCGTCGGCCGGCCGCTGGTGCGGACGGTCCGCTTTCGGAGCGACCCTACCGAAATCGGTCATCGTGTTCATCGTACGCGTGCGCCCGACCGCTCGGCTGTCGCACCGTGTCGCATCAACAGCGCGGTACGATGTTTGGGTCGTGTTTGCCGTCGGCGTCGTCGTCTCTGGGCGCGGGCGGTGCACTGCCGGTATGGTACCGAATCGCGCGCGCGTTTCGGCCGGTCCGGAGCCGCTAAATATGTGCCAATTATCGTCGTGTCGTCCGCCGCCGCCGCCGCCGCCGCCGCCGTATTATTATATTATATTGCTATTATATTGCTCGCGTGTACACACAATGTATTATACGATATGGGCGATACGGTAGAGGGGGCAAGGGAGACTTGCGGCGGTTACGAGGCGCGGGAACGAAAATAAGGAAAATAAAAAATATCGGCCACACGAATCGAAACCCCCGCCCGCCTTCCCTCAGAAAAACGAAAAAAATGAAAAAAAATACGCGATTCCCGAAACGGGAGCGTAAAACAGCGGTTTTAGGGGGAAGGTCGGCCAGTCGATCGGCCCGACTCACCGCTTAACTCCGATTTGTTCGTGCAAATATTACTATGTAGTAAATGTAACATTAAAAAAACAAAAAAACCGCGCGAGTAAGCAAGGATAAGAACTAATTAGCGGTCGGACGGAAAGGTATAGGAAAAATGGTTTTTTTTTTTCTAATAAGATTTGAGCATAATAGTTTAACGTTCGACTTTAATTTTCTTTTTGAGAATACTGTTTTCGACTTTAACTCCTAGGAAAAACGATGTCTCGATGTTTGTTTGGCTATATTATAATTAATTTATTTCGCTATGTTATTTTGTCACCGAAAAGGTTGCTGGATAAGTAACTGGGTAAGTTATAATTTAAAATGGAATTTTTTTATTTCACGATAACGCCTAAAACTGTAGATTAAGGCAACACAATGGTCATATTTCAGTGTTTTTCAATATTCGTCCACCGAAAAATGCATGTTTTCAGCTTCAAACAACTAGAATTCAAATAATTTGTTGCATTTATAAAATGTTACAAAAATTACAGTGATAACAATATATAACAATAAGTTATTTTAAAAAATAAACATCTTTGTATAACCATAAGCTTCTTCACTCCATTTAAACCGACTTCGTACAATTGATTCGTAAAATTAATCGCTTGAAGGTCCATAATAATAGCCAGGGTTTTACAAAAATTTAAAAATTGTTTCTAATNTATACTTTAGAAATTATGACAGCGATATAATCGTATGCACAAATATCACTTACGAGGTACTTTTAGTTTTTATCAATTAAAAGTTATAACTGAGAAATCATTACCATTCCTTAATACAGAATTGAAAATTTCATCAAAAACGTCTAGAAAATGTAAATATAAGTTTTCTGTGCAAATTACATGTCACTGCGAATATAATTAACTGAATTACAACAAAATTAAAAATAATAGAAAAATATGTTTTTTCGATTTTGTTCAATTATTAAAAACCTAAAAGGAAAAAACGACTTTATTTTGATTTGTGATTTTTTTTTAATAATTTAAGGATTGTATTTACAATTATTTACAATTGATATTCAATTGATTACAATTTGTTAGGAATCGATCGACAAACAAAGTCCCCTGCTTTGGGGATGCCTTTTACAGACCTTGGTCTGTAGATTATGTTCATTCAGCATACTAAAGATAACATATATTTTCTCTTTACAACGTTTGACGGATTCAACAGTTTTAACTTTTTCTGTTTTATTCCGAATTTAACACTAATAAAAATAAAGTATAGGGTATTTCGTTTATTAAAAAAATTATATTCCTGCGGATATTTTGACCAAATATTACGGGGTAATATTATGTTTAATTTAGAGTTGTAACGTATATCGTTCGGTTGCCAAAAGTTATCAAAAATTGAATACGACGGTGTGATTAAAAAAAAAATTATGTCTTTATTTTACAATTATTTATGAAAATGTTAATGTGAAAACAGTTATTATTGGTCGTATATAAAAATATATGTTTGGCTGGTTAGGCCGATTGTAGTGGTCGAACAATAAAAAAGGCCGATTTATCGGTAAAATAATTTTTTTCATTCGTTGACAAATTAACGAAAATACAACGGAGAAATAATGTGACAACGTAAAGACACAACTTCATTACGTACATGAAACTACGGACAATTTTGTCTGTTGGTGCATGAAGAAGTTAAATAAACCATTTAGGTAAAAGTGCAGGAACAATTTTAACAAAACCTGCAACACCCAATCCCACTAAAATTACCGTGACTGCAGATTTGGAGGTTAGTAATACTCTTGCAGACCACCTATCACGTGATCGACCCTCAGAAATTGAATTGATCTTATCCAGTGAAATTTCTGGCAACGGTCCTTGTTTTGAAATAATACATTTTTGAGTTATTGGTGAAAATAAATTTCCCGTCAGCGGGAATCCGACCGAACTATAGCTCAATATAGCGTAATAACGCTGAGGATATGCGAAAACACCTTCGGCCTCACGGCACCTAAGCGGTGCATTATTGGCGGTGAAATCGTGAAAGAACTTTGAACATTGAGAATGACCTTTCAACAACTGTTAACTGGTGTGTGTTAAAGTAGATCAAATCGTTTATGCTTAAACGTCCATTAAAGTTTCTTCGCCATTTAGAACTTTGATATCCAATATTTTTTTTCTGAACATCATTCACTTTTTCTTTTACAATTTTTTCAATTGGACCAGGGACTTGACTCAATTTCAAATTAACATTTTGCACTGCATCGATTGCATNAAGTTGATTTTAATTATTAATGTTCATTCGGAAATAATTAATTAAGTCCTTTGGATCCAAAGGTTGCATTTCTTTTATAACATTTAGATGAGTGTAATGTCTTCGTTTGGAAATCCGTTGTTTTGCCTATCGTTTCCGTTTTCTCGAAACTCGTTTATTATCTGGAATGGATAAGGCTAATATGATTGCTATACATGCTTTTTGCTGTTCATCTATATCCAACTATAATTTTTTTATTAAATAAAACAAAAATATTTATCGAACGGGGACCAACGCAATCAAACACAAACTAATACCGAGTATTGACGCTAATTAAATACTGACTGTCTGAGAACTATACTGTCAATATGCTCAAATACTGTCGGTATCTATACTGTCAATAGTATTGATCGTGTGAGGGCCGCTATAGTTTTGTATAATATGTTTTTTTGTATCAATTTATAGGTTAGCAAACCATTTGTTTACGTACACCCGTGTGATCAAGTTTCCAATTACACTGTTATTATTTTCCTTTTGTTACTATTTTCGTTTGTATATATGTATTGGGCGCAAATCTAACTCTAGTCAACTCTGTACCAGCTTATTTCTGTTTTGTATATTTAAATATAATAACGTGCGGGCCTTGTCACACGTCCCCGCAAAATCACACGTTCAACGTCATTTATAAGTGTGGTCGTCTAGCCCAAAATCCCCAAACATCCTAAAATATTCGTCTAATCTCCGACGATGTAGTTGTTGATGCTAACCGTCCATTAGTAGGAGCATCTCGGCTAAACATTTATGTTAATGTGTAACCGCTTATCGCACAAATGATTCACCCGATGAATAAATGCTCAAAATCACTTGTTTTGTTAATGTGGATAATAATCTCAATTTTAAAATTTTGAGATGTGCACGTTGCACTCGGCGATGATAAGGCCTAAAAATTGATAAGCTTTGTATCGCGAGAACAAATTTGTAGGTTCTACACACTCCCAAGAACCCCCCGAATTGTGAGAATGTCTTTGAGGTAGGTGAGACTTAATATTATTTTATTATTTCTAAAAATGCGCTTATTGTATATAAAAATATAAATTGAAATGATTAGTTTGCGAGCGATTTTTTTTCCGTTGGTTTTTCTGATCAAGCAAATTTCCTCCCTCCTACTTAACACTAGAATTACTTGAATTAATTTTTTGATTTTTTGCAGCAGTTTTCCTAATAAAAGAAAAATCGTGAGAAAAACAGGGAATTGACGATAATAATGCTATTATTATTTGTTCAAATTTGTTATTTATTTCAATTCAGTTAAAAATATTTGTAGAAACTTGAAATTTGCACAGACAACTTATATGTATCTTTTCTAGTCATGGTAAATTTTTCAAAAAATTTAAGCCATTTTTGATTTATTTATAGATATTTTAATTTTGTGAGTTTTATCCGTAATTTTTATTCAGTAGGTACTTTGTGGTCAAATTTTTAGACTTAACAGAAATGCGTGACAATTTAACAGTAGGTTCATTAAAAGTCTTATTTTGTGGTCAAAAAAAAAAATTTAATTTAATGTAGTATTTTTTTTATAAAGGAATTTTAATATAAAAATTTGACAAAAATCAAATGTTTAAAAAATTAAGTGGAAAAAATGTATTTTTAAATTTTTTTGTTTTGGACACGGGTATATTGCTGATTTAAGAACGATTGTGTAATCAGAATTGGACGGACTGACTAAGTTTCGAAATTATAGCTTTTTGAAGTTCTGATATTATGCGGATATATGTTATGTTAAATTACTCTATTTTTTCATCTTTACTGTTTGTTTGTTGTAGTCGATGGTCATGGTTGCAAACAAGGTAACGAAACAAGATAAAACTGTTTTCAATCTATTCAATGACGCAGAAAGTGAAAATATTTCATTTCATAACTATAGATAATGTATTTTAAAATTGACATGTTTTTTAATGTTTGAAATAAATGGCGATTATATTGTGTTCACTAATATAGAAAAAAATAATCTGGATCTTATAGTTTTTTTTCAAAAAAGGACGTTAAATATGTCTCAAAAAATATGAAATGACGGATAAAAGTGTAAAATATGCACTATAAACAAAAAGGACTAAAAATATTAGTTTATATGTAAAATTAAAATTCATAACTAGCTTTTTTAAAGCATGAAATGTATTTGTTTTGTACTCTGCTATTTTTGTGACTGTGCAAAACAAATATGCAAATGCTACAAGTCCTCTGCCCTAGTTCTAACTTACAATCTGTTTCGTGATTTAAATTAAATCCTGTAAATATTTTTAAACTCACGAAAAAACTACCTATTATGGTATAAAGTATATTATGATATTATTAAATTAGCAACACGTTATATTGAAAATTAAGATTTTGTGGNAGTATATAAGGTGATGTACCTAATGGGTTATTTACTTTTATCGTGATTCATGTATCGACCGTTTCAATAGTCAATTGTTTTGTAGTTATAACATTATTTTTTTTAAATTTAAATTGTACTTACCAGTTTTAATAATTCGTGTAAGTCAGCAATATACATACCTTTTTTGTTTTATTCCGAATTTTACACCAATAAAAATGAAGTATAGGGTATTTCGTGTTTTAAAAAATTATATTCGTGCGATTATTTTGACCAAATATTACGGCGTAATATTATTTTTAGTTTAGAGTTGTAACGTACATCGTTCGGTTGCCGATAGTTATCAAAAATTGAATACGACGGTGTGATTAAAAAAAAATTTATTTTACGATTATTTATGGAAATGTTTACAAACAGTATTTATGGGTCGTATATAATATATATATGTTTGGCTGGTTGGGCCGATGGTAGTGGTCGAAAAATAAAAAAGGCCGATTTATTGGTAAAATAAATTTTTTCATTCACGTTGAAAACTTAACGAACAGACCACGGAGTAATAATGTGACAACGTGTGAACAGTTGTGTCTATACGTACATGCACCTACGGACAATTTTGTCTGTAGGTCATAGGCGCAATTTGGGGGGGACTTGAAGGGGCTTGGCCCCTCCAATATTAAAATTAGCCCCTCCAAAAATTTGTATTTAAATTTAAGTATTAAATGCTTCATTAATTATCTAGTGGAGATAGTAATACATGATATGACAGTATGAAAATATGACATGGTGTATTTTTAGAATTGGTTCTGATGTTCACAATAAATCCCACTTATTAGGTGTTAATATCTAAGATTAAACTAATAACTATAATACCTACTGTATCGTACCTACTGAATTATACCTACAGTGTTCAATAAGATATTAAATAAATAAATATGTATACAAAAAAAACAAAGTCTGGATTATTATAGAAGGTGCTTGTATATACGACAGTTTACGATTTGANTTATAAAACAGCAAAGGTAAATAAACGTGCGATGCGCGATGTCTGATAATAATAAAAATTGAATTTCTACAAAATATCCTAGCGGTGTATAGTCAAAAACCGACGACGGAAGAAATGACAATGTTCAATACTTATATTTCGTTTTTGTAATGTATTTATTTCGAAGTGTCGTTCTGCTATAATTAAAAACCCTTAGTTATAATGGATAAAAATAAAAGATAATTAATTATCATTAACAATTCCAATCAACTCTGAGACATGATAAAGGTCATTCTCAGCAATGAGGAAGATTAAGAATTTGGTTTCGAACTTCAAAGAATCAAGATAGATTTACCAATTTATCAATAATTTATATAGAACGAGATTTGTCAAATGACTTGTCTAACGAACAAGTTTTGGATAAATTTGCAATCGACGGTTACAATTATAATATACCTAAAAAAATATATGTTATGTTTTTAAATACCTAAATATTGTTATTTGTTTTAATATAAATATTCCTAGTTTTATGAATGGATCCATAATTTATGCAGGAAAACTGGTGAGATAACTATGATTTTGGTATTTGAATGGGAGGTGTGGGGGGCAGATGTGGATCTGTTTCATTTAAAAATATTGAGTCCTTCCAAGTTAAAAACTGAATTTGCGCCTATGCTGTACGTGCATGAAGAAGTTAAATAAACCATTTACGTAAAAGTGCAGGAACAATTTTAACAAAACCTACAAAACTCAATCCCAGTATAAGCCCCGTGACTGCAGATTTGTTGCTTAGTAATGCTCCTGCAGAACACCTTTCACGTGGCCGNACGTGCATGAAGAAGTTAAATAAACCATTTACGTAAAATTGCAGGAACAAATTTAACAAAACCTACAACACTCAATCCCAGTATAAACCCCGTGACTGCGGATTTGGTGCTTAGTAATGCTCCTGCAGAACACCTTTCACGTGGCCGACACACAGAAATTGAATTGATCTTATCCAGTGAAATTTCTGACAACGGTCCTTGTTTCAAAGCAATACATTTTTGAGTTATCGGTGAAAATAAATTTCCCGTCAGTGGGAATCTAACCGAACTATGGTTCAATGTTGCGAAATAACGCTGAGGAAATGCGCCATCGGCCTCACCGAACGTAAGCGGTGCGTTATTGGCGGTGATATCGTGGCAATCGGAAGTGATAATCGAACCGCTACCGGATTCCGGACTGCCCGAATCGGCCGATGATTCGATCGCGGGCTGAATCAAACCTTCATTTACCTCTTCACTGTACTCGGTTATAACGGAAGTGCCATCTTCGTCGTCGAACACGTCTGGTTCTATTGTACTTATAGAGTTTATTTTGCTAAGCATTTCCAACAACATATCCCTTGTCACGAAGTAAGTCTATTGATTATTGATTTTAACATACGTTATTATCGAGTGCGCAATTTATTATGTTATTTAAATTTTTATACAAATGCGTATTTTACCTCCGACAGTTTCGGTGCAACCAAAGGCAAGAGGGCGCACAAGCATCGGACTTGAACTTCACAACTGTGTTCATTCACCAGATCGTTTACAAAGGACCATACTATTTCTTTGGGATAAACTCCGAATTTGAAAAGTTCGCCTATGAACCTATAAAACGGCAAAACACATAAATAATATGGAAAATAATGTAAAACATTCTCGGTGTATATTATATTTCTAAATGTTGACAACTTACTGACAATTCGTTACGAATTCATTGATCCGGCGTNAGAAGATTATAGAGTATTTTTAATATAGTTTTTATACGGGAATCGGAATTTAATATAAGATTTTGTGTCGGTACCCAGTGGCCGGTGTTGTAAAAAATAATTTTGAAAATTATGTGCGGAAACTATTTTAGACACTTATACTGAGACTCAAAATTTATTCCAATATTTATAAATAAACAGTATTTTAAAATACGTATTAAATTCTTGGAAAATAATTGAAATACCAATACACTGATATACTTTTACTTAAATGCTTAATAACACTGTCGGTACCTCGGATATCTTGCAACATTTTTTAAGATCATCGTAACATTTTGGTAGCAATGCAGTTTGGAATGCCGGCCCAGAACCGGGTCGCGCACCGTCAAAGCCGTCCTTAATCAACCTAGCGCACATTGCCGCATACAACTTGATATATTTCGGACGTGCCAAAGCCTAAACGGGACGTAATACACGCGACATTACGATCTTGAACACGTTTAAAAATATCCGTGTTCGATATTTATCATCTATAATCGTTCTTACTTTAGAGTGTATTACCCCGGCGACGACGTTTAAGTGACTCCTTTTTGTCACTGGCAGTGCTCTAACTTTTCTATACATAGCATCATAATTCTCAGGGTTCAAACCGTACACGGCCGAACCGACAATGTGAGCGATTCCCTGTGAAAAATAAAATCCGACGGTCAAAACATATAAATGTAAACGTGTTTTATATTCCGTAGTTTATTAGTCGGTACTTACCAATGTTTGAGTCATGATGAAAGCTACAAATGAAAGATGAAGCGTGAGAGCTATATGTAGTACACGGTTTTTAAATAATTTGAAACTGCGTGAAGTTCGCGAATTAATAAATATGAAAAAAACCGTGAATGAGCAAGAATAGTGAAAACGAGCGCTTTTATAGTGCCGTGGAGGTAAACAAGAACGCCGTTACCATCACGATTGACAATATTTATTTAAAACGTTGTCAAGTGTTAAATGTTCGGTCTTAAAATAAAATTGGAATATTAAATTTAATACTAATACAGTTATGCGATTTTAGGGGACAATAATAAAAATAATAATAATAATTTTTTTTTCATGGATGCGTCAAAATCAGTTTATGAAAGCTATTTCAATAAAAATATATTTAATGTTATTAACAAAAAATGAATAGAAAAGCAAAATTTGTAAATATTTCTTTAGACATTACTTTTGATATTTCTCGAAAAGAACAAGATTCTTTAGTATTCCAGTATGTTAGTAAAAATACTTATACCGTGTATGAACCTTTAGTATCTGTTAAAGAAACTCTATTATGTACAAGTGGTCTACATTTTTTTGGTTTTTTTGAAACAATATTTAAAGAAACGTCTATAATTGAAAAGGATTTTTAATTGGTCAATCATATGACGGTGCTGCTTTTATGAGAGGCGAATATAATGGTCTTCAGAGTTACTGGTGAAGAACAAAGTCCATGTCCAACGTATATTTTGTATTTTGCCCACCGCTTTAGCTTAGTAATTATAGGCGCAGTTTCAAGTTGTTTAGAAGCTCGTGATTTATTTGGAAACATGGAAACACTCTATGAATTAATTAAAGGTATAAAAAAAAACGAGTTGTATTGTATTCTGATTATTAAAAAAAATATATTATTCAAATAAAACGACGTCATAAAGACAAAGTTTAATGGACTATATGTTAATAGACCATTTATTTATATAGGTCTGATATTATAAAAAATATTTGATATGACAAATCCATTGAATAAATTTATTTACAGGGTAAAAACATAGATTTATAAGGTGCTGTTAATTACATTGAAAATTTGTTATTTAATTTAAAAGAAATAAAAAGTGATAGTAAATTTGAATTAATTGTTTTAGAAAAAGTAAAATGTATTGAATCAAAATAAGATAATCTTTTACAAGTTGTAATGGAATTTTTTTTTTCAACGATAAAGCCTAAAAACTGTAGGTTTAGGCAACATAATGGTCATATTTCAGTGTTTTTCGATAATCGTCCACCGAAAAATGCATGTTTTTAACTTCAAACCACAAGAATCCAAATAATTTCTTAATTTATAAAATATTTCAAATATTACAGTGATAACAATAAATAACAATAAGTTATTCTAAAAAATAAACATTTTTGTATAACCATAAGCTTCTTCGCTCCATTTAAAATCTAAAATAATATAAAATAACACGGAGGGAAATCTTTTAAGAATTCTGATACTATTCCTGTGACGTTACAATTGGCGTTAATTATTTTGATTACAAAAACACCACAGTCTCCTTAAATTCAATCCGAAGAATTTTTAAACTTACTTCGTATAATTGATTCGTAAAATTAATCGCTTGAAGGTCCATAATAATAGCCAGAGTTTTACAGAAATTTAAAAATTGTTTCTAATTAGAATCAATCAATGTTTTATAATTCGGATTGTCTCATTATACTTTAGAAATTATGACAGCGATATAATCGTATGCACAAGTATCACTTACGAGGTACTTTTAGTTTTTATCAATTAAAAGTTATAACTGAGAAATCATTACCATTCCTTAATACAGAATTGAAAATTTCATCAAAAACGTCTAGAAAATGTAAATATAAGTTTTCTGTGCAAATTACATGTCACAGCGAATATAATTAACATAATTACAACGAAATTGAAAATAATAAAAAATGTTTCTGTTTTTTCAATTTTACTCTATTATTAAAACCCTAAAAGGAAAAACCGACTTTTTTTTTATTTATGAGTTTTTTTAATAATCTAAAAATTTGAGGATTGTATTTACAATTATTAGCAATGTATATTCAATTGTTTACATTTTTTCTGGAATCGATCGGTAAACAGAGTGGGTGGGCCTATTTCACGTATATAAGATAAGCATTTATTGCACGGGCAAAACCGGACGGGACGGCCAATTAGATTATATTTTATATGTTGTAACTAGGACGTGTAGCTCTAAAAAATCAATGAATATGCAAGCACTTATGCACTTAAAATTTTTTTTAAAAGTATTTATAAAATGAATAGCTTTTAAAACAAGTCAAAACAATTATATAATTTAAATATACTTCACACCGTACCGAAATAAACAAAATACATTTTTCCTAATTTTCTTAATTTTATACTTCTTCTTCTGGCACTATAAAAAAATATTATCCATGGTTCAGTAAAAATAATTTTAGCCAATACATATTTAAGTAATGTTATTAATACTTTTACATTGAACAATTAAATTTTTTTTTAAATTTTCAAACTGAAAACATTGTCTGTAGTCTACCAAAAGAACTTTGAACATTAAGAATAACCTTTCAACAACTGTTAACTGGAGCGTATTTAAAGTAGATCAAATCGTTTATGCTTAAATTTTCGGGTATATCGTTCATTAAAATTTCTTCGCCATTTAAAACTTTGATATTCAATATTTTTTTTCAGAACATCATTCAGTTTTTCTTTTAAAATTTTTTTCAATTGGACCAGGGACTTGACTCAATTTCAAATTAACATTTTACACTGCATCGATTGCATGACTAAGTAAAATATTTTTTGCTTCAAGACTGGTAATTGTATCAGGTAAAAATCCAAAATGTGATTTGATAAATACTAAATTTGCCGCAAGGCTTGCTTGCGAAAATACTTTTGTGATTTTGCAATAGAAATAGCGTCTTCCTTATTCAAAGAGTTGACAATAGATTTAATAATTTCAAGGTGTTCACAGTAATAAACAGCGGCTCTTATCCACGTCCCCCATCTTGTTAAAATAGGTGCTGGCGGTAGTAGAATATTGGGCGCTTTGTCTTTAAATATTGCAATACGATTAGGCGCCTTCAAAAATATTTTTTTGACATTTACGATGATTTTATCGACTTTGCAATAATTTACACGATTTTTTTCAGCAATAAGATGAAGCCCGTGCACAATACAAGTAACGTAAATAACTTAAGGGTAAAATACTTGAATTGACTTCCCGGATTTCACCATATAAGGCGCCGCATCACTTAAAAACAATAGGACGTCGTCGTGNATTTGATAAATACTAAATTTGCCGCAAGGCTTGCTTGCGAAAATACTTTTGTGATTTTGCAATAGAAATAGCGTCTTCCTTATTCAAAGAGTTGACAATAGATTTAATAATTTCAAGGTGTTCACAGTAATAAACAGCGGCTCTTATCCACGTCCCCCATCTTGTTAAAATAGGTGCTGGCGGTAGTAGAATATTGGGCGCTTTGTCTTTAAATATTGCAACACGATAAGGCGCCTTCAAAAATACTTTATTGACATTTTCGACTTTGCAATAATTTGCACGAATTTTTTCAGCAATAAGATGAAGCCCGTGCACAATACAAGTAACGCGAATAACTTTAGGGTAAAATATTTGAATTGACTTCCCGGATTTCACCATATAAGGCGCCGCATCACTTAAAAACAGTAGGACGTCGTCGTGACGCATTTCTTCAGGCCACAATAGATGCATTAAATTATCAAATAATAGTCGAATGATTAGCTTTGGTCAGTACTTCGGAATTCAATAAAAATGTTTGCCCTGGACCATCGGTTTCAAGAGTACCGATTACTACGTTTGCAATGGATCGGCCTAATGAGTCGGTGGTCTCATTTATTGATACCCAGATCTTTTTACCAGTGATATCATTGCTAATTTTATTCATAGTTTCAGAATGAATTTCATCGACATAGCATTTGCGTAAAGTAGTAATGGCCGGAATTTGTTTCACCGTATATTTTTCCAAAAATTGTTTGAATTGAACGTTACTTAGCTTATTAAGTGGTATGTTGGCTGATAGCATTGTAGAACATAGGTCTTTTTTGAAAGACTAGCTGACCAGGCAATGCTTCGCTATTGCAAGATTTCTCAAATATTAATTTGCTATTTATTTTCTGGATGATTATTTTTATTTTAGACCACATTTATTCACGTCTCCGTGGTAATGTAGCCATATAAATTTAGCGTCGCCACCGTGGATTCTTCATAATGTTGAAAAAAACTTATATCAGTTGTATCAATAGAAAAATTGATGCTTATTTTTATTTAATAGATTTAATGTACGAAGTGCTAAAATTAGAGTTCGTGTATGTAAATTTTGTAGGTATAACTATGGATGGAACAAAAGATATGAATTATGCCAGTATTTTGATAATTCAAAGACTTAAAAAATTTCTTTGTAAACGACGTTATCAACTTTTTCTGGATCGGGGGCAAAAATATACAAATTAAATCTGGATGTCACACGTGACAGGGTGACGTAAGTTGACCGTGAGAAAAACATTGAACGTTTAGGTCTATTCCAGCAACGTTAAGTGTTTGTTCCTGTGCTTTATTTATAATCATTGCAAATGCTAATTTAACGGGAAATTGAATACGTTTAAACTTAAAAGGTAAATTTGAGGGTATAATTGGTATTCTTGGTAATAAAACAGTTTTTCCATTACCACAGCCCGTTAAGATTATGCACTCGAGTAATGAACTTCTCAATTTTTTATTTGTAGTCTTGTACCGTTGTAAAATGTGAGTGGGCTCAAATTTCTCATTAAAATAATAGGTGCCCCTATTTTTAAAATCAGTGTATGTGGTGGGACTCCAGAAGGCGTTAAAGAGTTAAGAAATTCAGTTGGGAAATAGTGACAAAATAGACCTTTCTTGAAACCATTTCAGTGATTTAGAAGATATATTTTGAATGTTCGGGTACACGTTTTGAATCAATTTTGTTATAATGGGTACTCAATTACAGAAACTTTTAAAATTTATTTTATCATTCGTTGCTTGAAATTCG